CCGGCGGTGTTCGCCCACAGACGGTAGCACTGTGGGAGTGTGTGGGGGCGGACCGGGCCCCGAAGCAGAACAATTGAGGCACTCCTCCTCTCTCCCGTGCCCGAGCTGAAGGGATGGGCTTACCTATGGGGCAGGTGGGAAGGTCACTGCTGGGAGAGGGGCCAACTGAGGTGCACTGGGCAGTCTGGAAGGCAGGGGAGGTCCTGGGGAGAGAGCGCAAGAATGGGCAAAGAATGCCTAATCCGTGGGAAAAGCTGAGCAGGGGTGGGAAAAGGAGAGCAGAGGATGTTCTGCCTAGCTCACTGAGTGGAAAAGGGCAGGGGTAGGGGCCACACCCCTGTCTCTCAACCACATGAGCAGGATGCCACCAGGGAATAAAGCTGGCCCATAGTGGTCCTAGGTGTCCACTGCAGGGAGGATGGGGGTCCTGCATTCACCTCAGTGTGCGAAGTTAACTTGTGTAATGTTGAGACTGCTGGGTGTTTAGGGTGGAAGGTGAGGACTGTGTTCTGGAAGAGAGGTTGGTCCAGCCATCCCAGGGGTGTGCTGGCTGGCCTCGGTGCTCAAGGTCTCCTTGCCCCAGGCCAGAAAAGTAAAAGCTGAGGATGGGGGCTTGGAGCCTTTGACTTCGGCAAAAACTGATCTGGCTTTTGGTACTTGCGGCCAGTCTGGGATAGCGCTGGCATGGCTATGCCTCTGAGCAGTGCCTGATTCTCCTAGTCTGTGTTCAGGTCTGGGTAGAGAGAGCATTCAAAAGAGGGGAAGAGAAACAGGAAAGAGAAAACAGTTGTGAGTGTGGGTTGGTACCCAGCAAGGGAACTTGCACTGACTGCCCCCCACCTTTGTGCGCCTCCTTCTCAGGCCCAGTGCCCGAGCCATGGCCCTGCCTCGGACACTGGGGGAGCTGCAGCTGTACCGGGTCCTGCAGCGCGCCAATCTCCTTTCCTACTATGAGACCTTCATCCAGCAGGGAGGGGACGACGTGCAGCAACTGTGTGAGGCGGGTGAGGAGGAGTTCCTGGAGATCATGGCACTCGTGGGCATGGCCACCAAGCCCCTCCATGTCCGACGCCTACAGAAGGCACTGAGAGAGTGGGCCACCAATCCAGGGCTCTTCAGCCAGCCAGTGCCTGCCGTGCCCGTTTCCAGCATTCCACTCTTCAAGATCTCTGAAACTGCAGGGACCCGGAAAGGGAGCATGAGCAATGGGCATGGCAGCCCAGGGGAAAAGGCGGGCAGTGCCCGCAGTTTTAGCCCTAAGAGCCCCCTTGAACTCGGAGAGAAGCTGTCGCCATTGTCTGGGGGACCTGGGGCAGGGGACCCCCGGATCTGGCCAGGCCGGAGCACTCCAGAGTCTGATGTTGGGGCAGGAGGAGAAGAGGAGGCTGGCTCACCCCCGTTCTCCCCACCTGCAGGGGGAGGAGTCCCTGAGGGGACTGGGGCTGGGGGGCTGGCAGCAGCTGGGGCTGGTGGTGGTCCGGATCGACTGGAGCCAGAGATGGTACGCATGGTGGTGGAGAGCGTGGAGAGGATCTTCCGAAGCTTCCCAAGGGGGGATGCTGGGGAGGTAACTTCCTTGCTGAAGCTGAACAAGAAGCTGGCACGGAGCGTGGGCCACATCTTTGAGATGGACGATAATGACAGCCAGAAGGAAGAGGAGATACGCAAATACAGCATCATCTATGGCCGCTTTGACTCCAAGCGGCGGGAGGGCAAGCAGCTGAGCCTGCATGAGGTGAGGACCCCAGGCCCTGATCCCCTCCCCTACCAACTTCAGTTGTTGCAGTGCTTCCCTCAACTAAGGGGGAAGCAGAGACACAGGCAAGAGCCCAGCTGTCCAGCCCCACGCCACTCAGGACGCCCCAGGAGTGGAGGAGGCCCCAGGCATTCCTAGGAAGCTGTGGGTGCTGACCTCTGTTTTCCTTCCTCAGAAAGCTCCTTCCTGCATGATGTCAAAACCCAAGCAAACATCTGATGGATGAGCCTCATTTGTCTGGTGGTGAAGGGGAGTGAGGAGGTCTGGGCAAGGTGGTGGGCCAGTTAGGATTCTGACTGCTCTGGCGGTCCTCTCCACAGCTGACCATCAACGAGGCTGCTGCCCAGTTTTGCATGAGGGACAACACTCTTTTACTGCGGAGGGTGGAACTCTTCTCCCTGTCCCGCCAAGTGGCCCGAGAGAGCACCTACCTGTCCTCCTTGAAGGGCTCCAGGTGAGACCCCCTTCTCCAGGTTCTCCCTAGATCAGAATCCCGCCAAGGAGATGGGTCACGTCCTGACCTCCAGTTCAGGTGCCTGTAGGCCTGCTTCCCACCCGCCTGCGTGTCCCTGCTTTTGGCCAAGTCCACTTGCCTAGGTCTGGCCCCACCTCCCATCCCTCTCAGGTCCCTTCTGCCCCCCACAACAATAGTGCTTGAGCTGGGGACTGCTGCTTACCCTTCAGCTTTCCAGATCCTGGGAATAATGCATGTTCCCCATCAGATTCTGTGTCCTGTCCACCATGTGTCCCTCCCCAGCCTCACCCTCCTTGTTTCTCTCCATCTTTGCAGGCTCCACCCTGAAGAACTGGGAGGCCCCCCACTGAAGAAACTGAAACAAGAGGTAGGTTTGCTAGGGTACATATAGGAAGTTAGGGCAGTCTTCCCCAGCCCTCTCTCTTGCCAGTCCTCATTTCCCCATTTGGGGCATCCACAGGTTGGAGAACAAAGTCACTCTGAAATCCAGCAGCCTCCCCCAGGCCCTGAGTCCTATGCACACCCATACCGCCCCAGCCTGGAGGAAGACAGCGCCAGCCTGTCCGGGGAGAGCCTGGATGGACACTTGCAGGGTGAGTGTGCGTCAGAGCGCTTCTCACTGAGGGGGCGGGGGGGAGGGGGGGAAGGTGTGGGAGGAGGGCGCCAGGAGGCCACTGCCTGGCACAGGGCTGGGAGGCCTGGCTGGGCGGGAGCGAATGGGCCTGGGCCCGTGGGGCTGGCTGTGTGGTTGAGGGTGAGGGTTCCGTTGACTGCGGCCCCCTACCTGACCCGTGCCCCTGCCCACAGCTGTGGGGTCGTGCCCAAGGCTGACGCCGCCCCCTGCTGACCTGCCTCTGGCGTTGCCAGCCCATGGGCTGTGGAGCCGCCACATCCTGCAGCAGACGCTGATGGATGAGGGGCTGCGGCTAGCCCGCCTCGTCTCCCACGACCGCGTGGGCCGCCTCAGCCCCTGTGTGCCCGCAAAGCCACCTCTCGCAGGTGAGGCAGCCAGCAGTGCCATCCCCAAGCACCCCTGCCACCCAGGCCCCGCACAGCAGTCCTGGTGTCCTCGGGGCAGTAGCATGGTGGGGCTCCAGCTAACCAGGCCTTGGGTTGAGGAGGGGGGACCCCTGCAGGGCTGTTCCCAGTGGGGAGGGTCTAACCCCAAGTGGACGTCTGTGAATGGCGAGCTTGGGGAGCAGGGGGGACAGAGAATGGGGAACGAAGGGGAACAGGAAGAGGAGAGCCACCAAGAAGGGAAGTTTGGATGGAACTTCTACCGATGCAGGAGGGTGGAGCAGGCCAGGAGTTGGGGTAGGGTTGCCAGCTTGGAATTGGAGGAGCCCAGAGGGGGATGCTTTGTGTGTGGATGGGGGAAGCGGGAGTAGGCAAGGAGGCCGGCAGAGGGCCGGGCATCGGCTGGGCTCAGAGTGACGCAGCAGACAAAGCCACCAACCCTAGCTTGGTATTTTTAAACTGTGTGTGGGTGGGAACTGGGGGCGGGGACTGACAGGGGGGCTCTTCTTGGGGGAGGATCTGGGAGGCTGGCTTCCTGTGTCCCCCCTGTTTTGGCTTCTAAGAACCCTGGGGGGCATGGTAGGGTTGGGGGGGGTGCCCTGGGAGGAGGCCAGGGATAAGCGGGGGCAGCAGAGCCTGGGAAGGGGGGAGGGGGAGAGGTCAGAGCCAAGCCGCCCCCACAGCTCCTGACAGAACCAGAAATTCCAGCAGAACGGAGGCGGGAGAGACAGAAAGAGAGAGACACATCCAGAGACAGAGAGCTACACACAGCCAGCAAGGGGAGGGGGGCGCACACACTTGGGTATGGAACCGCCCCCTAGACCAGAGGTGGGCAGGAGGCAGGAAATCAAGCTCATCTTCGCAGCCTTCTCTACCCCTGCCTCTGTTCTCAGCCCCCCTCTGTCTGCAGCGTCCATCCCGCAGCCTCCTAACCTACCCCTTCTCCCTGCAGAGTTCGAGGAGGGGCTGCTGGACCGATGCCCTGGCCCAGGACCCCATCCTGCTCTGGTGGAAGGTCGAAGGAGCAGCGTGAAAGTGGAGGCTGAGGCCAGCCGGCAGTGAGGGGGGGACTGGCGTCCTCAGACCCAGGGCGCCAGGCTTCTGGCTCACACAGACCCCTCCACTCTCCATCCCTGGCATCTAGTCACAACCCTGGATCCTTCCGCTGCCCTTCTCCTGCCTCCCCACCTGCCCCATGGGCATAGAACTATGGGGCTTCAAGCAATAACAAGCAGGGGCCTGGCGAGAGGACACAAGGAGGGTGCATGGTGCCCCCTCATCCTTGCCCAGAGCGAGGAGGCAAGAACTCTGCCTCCAGGGCATTTGGGATTCTCCCCTCCCTTACACAGCACACTCCCATCCTCTCTAGTTAGAGTCAGTGACATGAGCAGTTGGACTCAGTTTGGACATGGGGGAAAGGGGGACTTCCTTGGGAGGGTCCAGCAGCTAAAAATGGAAACGGTTTCCCCCCAGATCTGGGGGCCTGGGAACACTGGACCTGCTCCTCCCCTCTGCTCCTCCATTTTTGTGCTTCTAGTTTGTTTCTTTAATTTAACAAGTGCTGCAGTTCGCCCACCCATCCCCATCTTCCCCCCAAGTCCTCAGCGGTTCTCTCCCTCTTGCCCTCTCTAGGGGGGTGTGGGGTCCCCTTCACCGGCCCCCTCGGGAGGCCTGGGTGGACTCAGGGTCTCCCTCAGCTGGGATCTGGGCCGCAGCACCTGTCTGAGCAGTTAGAGCGTCTTTCTTTTCAGATCGTGTACAGTAGATTATTTATTTTGTTATTTTGGAATAAAATTTATTTTATGGCTTAGGATCTATGACCCCCAAGATGGAGAAAGGGTGGCATGGGGTTGGGGAGTGGAGGGAAGCTGGCGGTGGGTGGGGAAATAGAAAAGAAGAAGCGGGTAGGGCCCCCAATACACCATGAGGACCACACACCTGAGTCTGGACCCCAGGCTCAGCCTCTGCCTCTGGGCAGGATTGGAGGTGTTGAGCCACCGAAGCTACAGCCACATAGACTCAACTTGGGCACAGTCATACTCAAAGCTTAGTACATTTGGGTTAGCATACATCAGAGAGGCTAGTATACTCGCTGGTGTCTTTTGAGCAGTGTCTCACACTTCCAAACGTGTTGTCACACAGGCAAAATCAGAGAGGTGCGTGTTCTATGTGGCCATAAAACTAACGTGACATCTATATATTAACACGTCTCAGGTCCACACACTTTCACACAGCTATACGCAAACTCAGCCCTTATACTTCTGCACAATCTCATACACATATCCAGAAGCCTGCATCTGACTGACAGGAATTTGGAGCTGACTGGGATTTGTTTTTTAATCTGGGCAAAACCCACATCAGCAACCAAATGTGTACAGACCCCCCTCTCTCGCAGGATCTCCTGAACTGTTTCCCATGCCCCCAGGGCTGGGACCCAAGCCCATACTTCCATCCCTAGCCTCTGAAGCAGATGTGTGCACGTGTCTGTGTGTTTCCACATGTGTGTCCGGAGCCCCGGCTCAGGGCAAGCAGAGAAGCCCTCCGTGCCCTCACCTGTGCTCTGGCCCAGCCCCCTTCCTGCTCAGCCACATCTTCTAAGGAGAGGGTGTGTGTGTGTGTTCTGCATGTGCAGGCGTTTTGGGGCGTGTCTCACTTGGAACCTGAATTTCCCTTCCAGTATTTGGAAAGTGGAGCGCAGGGGTGTGTGGTGGGAAGGAAGGAGTAGATATGTTCCACCCACTGTACATTCTCCTGGCAAAGTCTTTTCCTCCTGACCAGGGAGTAGGTGGGGATAGGAGGACACCCTCCCCAGCTGCTGCTTGGCAGGAGCACAGGCAGGTGTTCAGAGCAGGTCCATGGGGGCAGGAGAGCTGTCTCTGGGCTCCCCCTCCAGCTGGGATCACCAAGTGGGGTTAGCCCTTATGTCCAGGTGGGACATTGAGATCCCAGACTGCCCATAGCAGGAGGGCTGCAGGAGGGGTTGGGCTCCCAAGGACCCTCCCTCTGACTCTCCTTGCCCCTCCAGGAGAAGCTTGGTGAGGTCCTGTTCAGTGGGAGGCAGCAAGGGCGGGAGCATGTCTTCACGGACCCTGCAGGGAGGAAGGAGGGAAGCAGTGAGATAGGCATGGCACCCACTCCTCAGCCTCCACCCCCAGGCTGACACTCACCAGGTGCCTTGAGGGAACCCTCCCACCGGCTGCCTCAGGCAGCTGTCTTCCGCCATGGTCACATCTGAGCAGAGCAAGGGCTTGGAGCTGGACACGGCATGCTCCTGAGGCTGGCACGGCAGCAGGCCCCTGCCGGGCCCAGAGAAGTAAGTGAGGTGGTGGCGGGGGTCGGGGGGTTGAGGCTGGGGATGAATGAGGAGCATGAGCTCAGGATGGGGGTGGGCGTCACTCACTGCGGGTGAGGTTGGTCAAAGGGCAGGCCCATCTGACTCAGGCTGGGCGGCATCTGCAGGTGAGGTCTGGAATCAGGAAGGAGGGCACAGTCAGAAAGAAAAGCTGGCAAGGGCAGGGTGTTGCAAAGTCAAGACCACTGAGTGAGGAAACAGTATTTCCAGCTCCTTATCCTGACGGCAAGCACTGGGCAAGCCATTTCCACCTGTGAGCTTGGACTTCTCATCTGTATAAATGTGTATGCATTGGCGACTGGGGGCAGGAGACAGAGGAGGGCTAGATTAGCTAATTTTTGATGTTTCTTTGGACTTTGAACTTTGCTGGCTCTAAGTACCCCTGTCCCCACCCCTACCTCAACTCCTGGGAGGGGAGATGTCATGCCTCGACTGAGAGTAAGCACCTGAGTGCTACCTGGAGAACAAGTGTCTATGCCACTTCAGGCCCAAAAAGATAAATAAATAAAAATCAAGACAGCAGATAAGTGACAGTAGATTTCAGGGGCGGGAGAGATAATACTAATACTTACATAGCTCTTCCTGTGAGCCAGGTACTGTGTTTAGCTTTACACATACTATTAACTCAATTAACCTTCACAATAACCCTGTGAGGTAGGTATTGTTATTATCATTATTCCCTATTTTACAGATGACACATCAGAGTTAAGTAACTTGCCCAAAGTCAGCAAGTGGTGGAGCTGGAATTCGAACCTGGATCTTAACCACTAACACCTCAGTGGAATGGACAGAAGAGACCCAGGTGTTGGCTTTTTGCCACCCCGTTCTCACAGAAGAGACTTCCCTAACAAATGCAAGTGCCCAGGCCCGTTGCAGGTGGGTATCCCACCCCGTTCCCCAGAGGGGGCCCCACTTACTCCTGGAAGGCTGGCAGCACATTGACCGATTCTTCCCGGGGAAGGGCTGGATATGAGGGGATGGAGTGAGAGCGTGGTGGGTACCCCTGGGGCCTGGGGAAAGAAAGCAGACCCCTGATGCCAGCCCTTCTCCTGGACACCCCAAATCCCTGCCTCAAGATGGGGAATCCCTTTCAAGGGAAGGAAATTCCCTACTTCAGCCCCCAGTGCCAGCTCCCCCAGTTGCCCACGCTGAAACAGCCTGCTAGTACAGACCACTCCCAGTTCCGCCTCTCAAGCTTCTTACGCCATATCTGGGCCGAGCTGCATGTTCATGGAGCAGTCAGGGACCATTCCAAGATCGTAAGAGGGCATCATGGTAGGCGTTTGGGCCTCAGGGGTGGTAAGTGGCTGGTCCCTGGAGGAGGGGAGGAGGCATGTGTGACTGACCAGGGGCTGATGCCACCACCCCTTCCCCCAGGTAAGTACTGGGCCCCACCCTCCATCCATACCAGCACACTCACCTCTCCACAGTCATCTTGATTGTAGCTGGGACATAACCCCTGCCGTCCTTACCCATCTGCTCAGCTGTTGTGGGGAGGAAAGGAGAGCCATGGAGTGCTTCTGGTTTAGGGAGGAAGGGAGGTGGAAAAGGTGAGCATGGCTGATGGGCAGGTAGCAGAAGCAGGGAGATGAAAATGGAGAGAGAAGTCAGGGATGACACACAGCAGGCAGGGAGGGGGCAGCTGGGAGCAGGGAGAAGGTGGACAACAGGAAGGAGTCAGAACTGCCAGCCCCAGCTCACGCTTGTAGTGGCTCCGGAAAGCCTCGTCCTTGGGTTTCTTGGGGTAGAGGTTTTTGAGCTGAGCGAGGTCCCGGATTCGGTCACCAAGTGAGCGAATGGACAGGTCTTTGGCAGAGAATGGCTGGATGTTCTCTATCTGTGGGGAGCCTACAATAGGAATGAGACCTTGAGTCCCCTCTGTCCAGACTTTATTCACCTTCCCCAACCTCCTCCCACTATTGGACTCATTGTCAATCTACCAAGGTGAGGAGGAGAGGAGCTAGGGTGAGGGTCCTGAGGGAGGGAGACCCACCAGTCTCCATTCCCACAGAACTCACAGTGAGAAGGTAGACGTTTAGACCACAGAAGGAGGAAGAGAAGTTGGACCGAAGGAAGAACTTCTTGAAGACCAGGGTTGGCCTCAAGGAAGGCCAGGATGTTTCCTCCCCAGAAGAAACCCCAGAGGGCACAGGCACAGAGGCAGAGGACTGGCTGGGGTGACCTCACCATCCTGGCCCCGGATGACATGGGCAATGGTGATGCCCCCAATCTCTGAGTCACTGAACCGAAGGAGGAATGTTCCATCAGGCTCGTTGAGAAGAAGGCTAGTGACGTATTGTTTGCTGATGAAGCCAATGATCAACCTGGCCAGGATGAGGGAGAGGATGTGGGTGGGGTCGCAGGGTGTGGAGTGGGAGCTGGAGGTACAGCTGCTCAGGCCACCTGGGGCGGGGACTCACCGATCTGACCAGTAGCTCCGGAGACAGCGTTTGGTGAGGTCCAGGACGCCATCAAACCACTGCCAAAAGGTGAAGCCACGACCCAGCAGGATCTCCTGTGGGGAGAGGGGAGTTGGTGGGAGCACAGGAGCCTAGTTAGGGCAGGCATTGGGCTGTGAGTACCTACACGACAGAGTCACAGGACTGAGGGAACCACATTGGACCTGAGACCCCATCCATGACAGTGGCCAACACTCAGGCTTACCACGTGCCGGGCACTATTCCGTGCTCTTTTCATAAATTAATGTATCTGATCTTTACAAGCCTAGGGAGGTAGGTCCTGTGAGTATCCCATCTTACAGATGAAGAAATGGAAGCCTAGAAAGGTCAAATAACTTGCTTATCACACAGCTGGTGAGAAGCAGAGCTGGGATTCAGCCCAGGAAGTCTGGGCTGGGCCCCCTCTTAACCACTGTGCTCCACGCCCTCCTGAATGAGGCCTGGAGGAAGTGGTGTCCAGAGAAGACAGCTTGCAGGGTGTGAGTGTCCTGCTCCCTTTGCTAACACATCCTCTGGTCGTGTGGGCTTTTCTTTCTTCCTTTTTTAAAAAAGAGATCAGTGCGTGACTGCATTTACCCAGCTGGTCCTCAACCAAGACACCCAGACCTCCTTTTTCCCCTGTTCTTGTAACAGATCCAGTCCTGAGCCACCTTATTTTGGAGGCAGTAAAATGTAGTCGCTAAGAACAAGAGTCAGAAATACGGTGTTCCATCCCAGACATGCCACTCACTTGCTGGGAGGCCTTGGACAAACCACTTAACCCCTCTGAGCGGGTTCATCCTCTGTAAAATGGGGGTAATAGCACCTACCTCAAAGGGATGTTGGGATGATAGCATACATGAACTGCTGAAGCACAGTGCCTGGGTATAGTAAGCTGTCAACACATGGTAGCTGGTATTATTGCATATGTCCCTGTGGGATTTCGTCCCTGTTTTTGCAATAAGACCTATTTTCCCAATGGGTCAAAGTCATTTTGAACCAAAGCTGTGTTTACACACAATCTGGGTGAGTCATGCAGATCACTGGCAAAGAGGGAGGACGGAGGGCCCCCAGACCAAAACGGGGGGATGCCAGAGACCTGAGGGGTTTTCCTGCCTGGGCCATGACAGAGGCCTTCCTGATGAACGTGGTGGGGCATTGTGAAGATCCCAGCGGTTGATCCCTGGGCAGACGTTGGGGAAGCCCTGAGTGCCCCAGGGATGAAGAGCTTGGGGGTGGGAAGTCCGAAGCGCAGGGGAATGACCTTGTTGAACTGTGACCAGGACACAGAACGGTGCTGGAAGGCCTCCATGCTGAGGCTGTTGTCGGTGAAGATCTTCTGGGCCAGGAAGAGGAAGTGCTCTGGGAGTAACCCCCGGTTGGTCCCCACCTCAGCCATGAACTTGAGGTTAAGAGTTTCACACATCTTCTCCCAGGGCACCCGCTCAGCCACCACAAAGGGCACGCGGTCCTGGGGGGAGGAGAGAAGGAAAGGGAGCCTCAGGCTGACATCCCCATCCCTCCTCAGGAGGACCTTCGCCTTTCCCACTTCCCCAAGCCTGCCGCTCCCCAGCCTTGTCCCCCTGAACTTGCTCAACAAAGATGGTGCTTTTCCAAAGGAGTCTAAGGTGCTACTGCAGGATAGCTGTTAAGATTGGCATGAAAACGGGACTTCCCTGGTGGTGTAGTGGTTAAGAATCCGCCTGCCAATGCAGGGGACACGGGTTCGAGCCCTGCTCCGGGAAGATCCCACATGCTGCGGAGCAGCTAAGCCCGTGCACCACAACTACTGAGCCTGCACTCTAGAGCCTCCAAGCCACAACAACTGAGCCCAGTGCCACAACTACTGAAGCCCACGCGCCTACAGCCCATATTCTGCAACAAAGAGAAGGCACCGCAATGAGAAGTCCACACACTGCAACGAGAGTAGCCCCCGCTCACCGCAACTAGAGAAAAGCCTGCACGCAGCAGCGAAGACCCAAGGCAGCCAAAAAATAAATGAGTAAATAAATTAATAACATAAAAAATGAAGTATGAAAAAAATTGGCACGAAAAGAGGTCAGGAGTACGAAAAGGAGTTAAGGTCACTCTCTTTTGAACATGCTTGCCAGCCTGCACCCCACCTCCCAGGTAAGAGCCCCCCACCCCACCCCCGCCAACTCCAGGTCTTTCATCACCATCTCAGAGAAGGCGTTGTCCCACAGAATGGTGGCTTTGGCATTGTTGTCTTGGTTGCCGTGGACGATGACCACCAGGGGCAGAGACAGGGCCTGAAGGGGGTGAGGAGAGGGGGTTCTTCTTACTGGGGCAAGGGGCTTCCACAGAGGGCTGGCTCTGAGCGTGCCGGGGAGCTACTGGACTCACACAACATGGTTAAAAACTCATGGTATGGTATCGAGTGCTTTCTGAAGCTCAATTAGGGCCTTACTGCAGAGAAGTGGTTACAAGTCAGTGCTATAGAATCCCCAGGTTTCCAATGCCAGCTCCAACATTCAGTAGCTGTGTGACCTGGGTTAATTACTCAATGTCTCTGTGTCTCAATGTCCTCATCTATAAAATGAGGCTAGTAATAATACATACCTCACAATGTTATTGTGAAAACCACGCGTGTGTGTGCACGTGTGTGACTTAAAACAGTGTCCTGGTCTATGAAAAGTGCGTAAGTGCCAGTTGCTCCTACGCTGTCATTCCCTGGGGTGTGCACTCTGGTTCTGGCTACTCCCCACTCACCCGGGGCCCCAGCATGCACAAATCCCAAACACACAGGGTATGGGGCAGTCATGAAGAGTGAGGATGCAGGGCCCCAGTGTGTGGCCGGGAGGGGCACCTGGGGCCCCGCCTTGGGCGGGGCTGGGGCCTCGGTTCACCTGGAGCTGGATAGGGAGTTTGTTGGGGCTGAGCGTGAAGCTGGTGGAAAAGAGCACGGCACACTTCTCCTCGGTGACAGACTCTGTGCCCTTCCGTTCACACCGCTTGATTTTCTTGAGAAGCTGCGGGTGGGGCGAGGGAGAGGAGGGTGAGGGCAGCAACTGCTTCTCCTGGGCTCCCAACACCCTCTCCAAGGAGAATGTCCTGGCCTGAGGACCCCCGCCCACTGCTCCCCGAAGGCCTCACCAGGTTCTTGAACAGGGCAGAGCAGCAATTCCCGGGAATGCTGTTCTCCAGGGGCACGGTGTTGTTAATGATTTCCCCAGTGCTTTCTCTGCCAGGCAAGTCAGAGAGTGGCTCATCCCAACTGGGCCAGGAGTGGCAGGGGCTTGAGTCCACCGGCTAATGGCCTGGACTACTGGCCCCTAATCTCCATCTCCCCGCTTGAGTTCTTAAGGGAGAAGTCCCCATCTTAGCCAAATCATGATGCTCCCACCCCATTCCAGCACTGATGGGTCCCTCCCCTTCCGCTGCCTTGACTATCATACAGGGTCCCCACATCCCATGGCCCGCCCTCCCTGTCATCACCCTGTTCTTCGTGGTGCTAGTCCCCCAGGCTCCTCTGGCCTCCACCACCCTCCAGCCCCTCTCCAGCCCCAGCTTACACTCCAGCCCCGGGCCCCTGGGGCATGCTCAGCTCCCTCGCCTGCTTCTCGGTTACCATGTCGGCCCTGACCATCAGAGGCTTGGCTGGGGCCGCCAGGAACCGCAGGCCCAGCAGGAATCGAACCCCGGCCTGGAACTTGGTCTGAGTCTTCAGAACCTGGGGGGGCTGCTTTTCCACCAGGAAAGAGCTGGGAGGAGTGAGGAGGACACAAGGGAGGTTAGCAGCTGGGTCCCTCCTGGTGCCCTCCCCACAGCTCTGACCCTCTTCCTTCCTTGGGGTCTGCTCTAGGCCAGGCTGGGGTCTCATACCTGGTGATGAGGGTTCGCAGGACTTCATCCAGCCGGCTAAGCAGCGCTGCCCGGGTCTTGGGCTCAAGCTCTCCACCAGCCGCCCCCACCTCCTGCTGCAGCTGGGAGTAAATGTCCACCAGGCTCTCACACCTGGGGCCGGGACAGTGGTTAGGGGGCACAGGGTTTAGGCTGCCTGCTCCCCGCCCAGACCCCCCACCCCTAAACCCAGGAAGATAGCAGGAGAGTGTGTGTGGAGGGGTGGGATGAGCAGTGGGCGTGGCTGCAAGGCACCTGGGCTAACCGAGTTGTGGGACATGCCTTGGCTCTGGGGAGGAAGGTTCCTTCTCAGTGCCTGGAAGCTCTGTGGAAACCCAGCTGCCTCTTCCCCAGGGCTCTGGTACCCAGGTCAGCTGCCAGCACATACGATGCTTTTGTGCATTTTCAAAGGTGCCCCGCCCAATAGACCAAATAGACTTCCCATTCCTCTGGGCACGGGGCTTGAAGAGAGAATTGTGGGCTGGAAGAACTCCTGCTTGTGCCCCGTCCGCCGGGTGCACGTGTACAGGACACAACCTGGACAACAGTGTGCATGGCTCTGCTGGAACGGGCTTCTCTGAGTCTTGACTCACCCCAAGACCCTTTGGCCTGGTTTTCTCTCTCACACCTGTGGGTGCTCCAGCAGGGACAGCAGGCGTCCACCCCCAGCCCCCCCCACCCTTCCCTGTCAGCCCTGCCCCAACCTCTCCTGTAGTGGGGCCAGGCTCTCCTCAAAGGGTGCGCCATTCCCTGCCAGCTGCTGCTGCCGTTTCCAAATCTGGATCCTCTTCAGCACCAGGGCCTGGGCAGCCTCCAGCTCCCCGACAGTCTCCTGCAGGAACGTGGCGAGGGCCTGTGGGAAGAAAGGGCCTGAGCCAGGGCCACACGCTTCCTCCTCACCCAGCTCTGGAGGGTAGGGCTCTCTTTCTCACCTCTCTGAGGTCTAATCTCCATCCCTCCACAGATTTGAGACCCTCAGAGTCTGCCCTTGGAGCTCAATCTCCATGTCCCAGTCCATTACTCACCTCACTTGGCCCGGTCCCATTGGCAGGAGTTTCTATCAGGCTGTGCAAAGACACTGAGGGTAGGGGCAGAAATCAGGGGTGCAGATAGATTTGAGGTTCAGTCAAGGTTGAGATCCAAGAGGGGATCACTCCCACACACTCCTCAGGACCCTCTTAGGGCTCTAGGCCCAGGCTCCCACCTTGGCCTCCCTCAGCCCCAGGCTGCAGGGCTTTGCGGAGAAGGCAGGTCTCCCCCACTCGGTGCTGCAGCCTCCGCAGGACTGTGTTAAACTTGAGTTCCTCTTGCTTCCAGTGGAAGGGCATTGGCAGGTGGCGGAACTGCACAGGAAGGAGAGATGCCAGGAGGTGAGACATTCTGCTCAGCCCTTTCCCTTCGGCCTCCACTCCCTAAAGGGGTGCAACTGCCATGCTCTGCAGAAAACAGGCCACTTCCCTTGTCTGCCTCCCTTCTCTCCCTTGACAGTCCTTCCTGGCCTTTTGGAATTTCCTGATGATAAGACCTCTCTCCTGGCAGAATCAGCTCCTTATCACTTGCTCTCTCCTTCCTAGGCCTCACTACCCTCAGTCCCTCATTGCAAGCTTCTCTGAGCTTAACTTGGGGCTCACTTTGACTCCTTTGGTCATCCTGGGCCTAGAACACTGAACTTTTCCTGAAGTTCAAATTCCTTCTAGTGTCTCATGGCTCAGGCTAAAGTCCCAGGGAGTTGAGTTGGGGTGGGAGGTGGGGTACCACAGTACCTGTTCCATAATGGCTTTTTTTTCCCCTTGAAGTATGTGTCTGAAAGTGGCCACCAGCTTCAGGGGGTCCCTCTGATATATGCTCTATAGAAATGAAGGGTGGTAGACAGGGTTAGCCTGGCTCTTACCCATGTCTTTCTCCCATTCCAATCCCCAGCCCCCCCATTTACGCATGCACTGAAAGGCAGCACAGCTGTAGGCTCCAGAAGTTTTCATGCGTTTGCATGGTTTTAAAATCTAATTTGCACGCTAGCTAACAGCTAGCCACAGGAACACCGATTTGCTTCCAGCATCCAACCAATTTTCTTCCAGCATCCAATGCTCACCCCAGCTCCATTCCAGGCCCCACCCAGCCTTGTCCCCTCCCCTCCTGCCCCACCTCCAGGGTGCTGATGTGTTGCAGGATGGTGCTCCCCTCCCCCTGTTCTCCAGCTGAGGCCTGAAGACACTGGACAGTGGCAGAAAGTAGGGCGCTGGCCATGTTGCAGCAGAAGGCGTCTGAGCCGACAAGGAATTCCCTGCAGGAAGATCAAGGATGAGGCAGCCTCGGGTCAGGGCTTCCTCTGCTCTACTGTCCCTTTACCCCACAGCAATCAGCTCAGCGGCTCCTTCCTCCTCTTATCCTCCATCCAAGCCCTCTGTAGCCCTCAGCCCCGTCCCTTATTCCCCAGTTTTCCAGCTGTTGTGGGTGGTGCCCTTACCCCAGCTCTGACCTCCCTCCTCTTTGGCTCAGCCTCCTAAGGGGGTGGGGGACTCCACGTATCAACATGCATAGTCTGGTTGATGAGGTACAGACTCCCAGCTAAATCTGGACCACCGCACATGGAATAACGAGTCCCAAGTCTTGAAATGGGATGAAGAAAATCTAATGAAAGGGAAGGTGGGTGGGGGAGGATCTGGGGGACCAACATGGGGCAGCCAGGACTCACCAGGGCTGGTTCTCCAGCCAGTCACCCAGGAGATGCCGCAGGTGTTGAGGGAAGTCAACATAGAGCCGCTGCAGTTTTTCTGGGGGCATTTTGGAGACCAGACCCCACAGAGACATGATCTGGGGTTTGGAGGGTGCCTGGAGAAAAGGAACAAGGCTACTTGGGCACTCTGCCCAAGAAAGTTGGCTTTTGTTTGGGGGCAGCCAGGGACCTCCCGTAGACAGCCCTCCCAGAGACCATCCCCACCACCACTCACAGCCAGACCACCTCAAACCAGGGACATCCCTGGCCAATGCCTCAGACAAGGTAATTCCTTCAACGGTAGACACAGGGGTGATGGGGTGGGAAGAGCTGAGCTGCAGTCAGAGGGCGGGGTGGGAGACAGGGGCGATGGGACAGTAGGGAAAGCTCTCTGAGAGAAGACAGAGGATGTGGGTTGTAGCTCTAGGCCTGGCTCTGGTTCTGTAGGCAAGAAACCTCCCCTCTGTGGACCTCAATCTTCTCATCTATAAAATATGAGGCTTGCATAAACTGCAGAACTTTCCAAACTTTTTAAAGCAGTGGACAATTTTAGTTTTAATCTGTGGAATCCCAATTATATAAAATTGGAGTTTCTCTGTTGAAAGCAAGTGTGGTAGGCCTGGAATTCTACTGCTTCTTACTTCCTTCTCCCCACCTCCTGACCCCAAAGGTGTCCCTGGAGAAAACCCTCAAAATTCCAGGCTTCCGTGAGAGAATCTGAAAACTACCTGGCTAGATGATGAAGAGCATGGCAGAGTAATAATGGCTACCATTTATTAAGCACTTACTATGTATGAGGCATTATACTGAGCTCATTACCTCATTAAAATCTTGCAACAATTTTTAAAATATAGAATTATCCCCTTTCACAGGTAGAGAAACCGAGCTCAAGGAGGTTCTCCAACTTGCCGAGGCCACTCAGCAAGCGATTTGAACCCGAGAGGGGATTAACCACCACGTTGTACTGTTAGGATGCCCTCCAGATCCAAATCCCATAATCCTAAGGGGGGGGGCATGGGAGGAGAATTGAAAAAGAGGAGACTGAGCGAAAGGGAAAGTAGAGAGAACTCAGGAAGATGGTGAGAGATTAGAGAAAAAAGTGGGGTTAATAAGCCTTCAATGAAAAGCCTAGAAGAGGGGCAAGGAGGCTAGGGCTACAACGAAGGGAAGAAAAGGGGGCAAGAGGAAAGGAGATGGGAGGGTAGGGGAGAGGGCTGCCTCCCCATTTCTGGGTGGGCCACAGGGTGGGGTGGGTAAACCAGTGGTTTCCCAGGGGTCTCTCAGTTTCCAGTTTCTCAAAATATCCCTCTTCCCAGAGATGACAGAAAGGATGGGGATGGAAACTCCCTGGGTCGCCCCCAACCTGGTAACCCCAAGTCTTCCTGCTGCACTTTTAGCCCCTCCTCTCTCCCAGGACTCCCAGAGGGACGGAGAACAGAGGGGCCCCTTTTCTGGAAGTTCCTGCCTTTCCCCCCAGTCCCTATCCCCTTGAGCTCTTTTCTCCCAAAGGCAGAATCCTCCCCCAATCCTGCTCAGGGTCCTATAATAGACCTTTCTCTACACCCACCTTGGGGTGGGGCCCCTTTTGGTTTGTGTTTCAAACTCAGGGGAGGACTCCATCTCTCTCTTCCCTCTTCCTCTCCTGTGTCTCACGGTGCTCAGACCTTTGACCTCTCTCCCTACCCTATTGGGGACTGAGGCGATCCCTAAGCCATAGGCAGCCCCCTTTCTTCTACATGCCCCTGTTGAGTGACCAGCTTCCTGGCCTGGTCCTGGCTTCAGATCTTCCCCACTCCATCCTCAGGCAGCAGGGGGCCAGGCTTTCCCCCAGCCACACCCAGTAACCAGGCTGGGTCAATCGGCCGGCCAGGCCAGGGGCACCTTCTGCTGTAGGCCCCCAACACCGGCAGGGAGGGAGGAGCCACGGCCTGAGGGGGCGGGGCCAGTGTTCCCTTCCCAACCGGGAAGGGAAACCCAACGTCCAGGATCTTCATCAGCCCTCTTCGTGGCCTAAACCTCACCTCAACCCTTACATTCCCGAGCCCTTTGACCGTGGGACCACAGGATCAAGAGTCAAACGAGCTTCTCTGAGTTGCCCAGTGTGTGTCTGCGGCGGCGGGGGCGGGGCGGGGGGCCGGGAGGCGGAGCCAGTTCAGCAAGAGTAGGGTTAACTGCGTGACTTGGCCGCGCCAAAAGTGGAGCAGTTTTGAGGGGGGAAATTCCCTCTCCTTTGGGACACCATGAGGTCTGCGTCTGGGGCTCGCTCACCCCTTAGCCACACCCTTGAACAGGAACCTTTTTGGGGGGCCCGGATACGGGTTTGTCTAGGACCTACTGCCCTCTGGTATCAGCCTTCTAGGGAGGGGCGGCCACCTCCCCCCAACCCAGAGGGCAGAGGGGCACCTCCTTGCCCTCCTTTCCCTGCCTTTACATGTCCCTGGAGGTGCGGGGGACGGGGTGTATGGAAAAAGTGACCCACGGTGGGGAGGGGGGGAGGGGAAGTGCTGGGCCTGTACTCACCCCAGATTCTTCTGACACTTCGAAACTGCCAAAACTCAGTACCACCAACCACCAACCCCAGCTGAAACAATCTCTTGGGGACCATCCACTCTGCCGAGGGAGGACCCTGAGAGGCACTGCCCGCAATCCACCGCCCCACATATTCACAGTCAGAGGCCCCCCACCCTCCCCTCCTTGGAGGCATCCCCTCACCTTGCCAACCCCTCTGCTGTCTTCTCCCTCTCTCAGCGGGCACTGCCAGGCCCCATGGGTCTGTAGTTCTGTCCAGCGGGTTCAGGGCTGGCCCTGCTAGCACCCCCCCTCCACCTCCAGCACCAAAAAGAAAAAAAATACACACACACACACGCACACGCACACACACACACGCACGCACACACACACGCACACACACGCACACTCCTCTCCCGTCCTTCCTCTTCAGCGTAAGCAGTGGCTGCCCCAGCCTGCTGTTTCCGGCTTCTCCGACTACCCAGGTCCCTCCCTGGAGCTCTGACGACACAGACAAGGGAAAGTGGGCTGGAGGAGGAAGAGGAAGAAAGTGGGGTGAGCGTGTGTGCCTCCGATACCGGGTAGGGGAGCATGGCGTGGTGGGGAGCCAGGACTGGGGCTTGGGGGCCCTGGGGCCAGGCTGGAGGGGATGCTGATCCCCACTTACTCTGTCCCCCCTCAAAAGCAATCAACTTTCCTCCAGAAAGTCACCCAATATCAAGCCAGAGACGTGCCGCCCCGAACTGCCGCTCCCATACTCAAACTTTCTCAGGGGCCGGGGGTTTGGGCTCGCAAGGGACTGGGCTCCCCTGTGGCCTCTGGAAAAAGAAATCTCTCTGGGGCTCTGCGCTCCCTCCAGTGGAGGACCCTGAAAGCGGCCAGGGAGCTGGAACTCCTAGGTCCTCCTTCCTTCTTGGTGGGGAACGCCTTAGAGGTCTCGTGACCGCTGATAGGAGGGAGTGGGGGAGGGGAGGCTGAAGCTCACAATTCTGTAGGACTCCAGGGGTCCCTCGGACTGAAAATCGTTTCTGCCCCGTCCTCACAGGGTACTACTCCTCAAACCCAGGTGGGAGCCGGCACGAGTTGGAGTTGCCGCCTGTAGATTCCCAAGGGACAAGTTTGCGTGTGAATCTGCGGTGCAGCTTTGGTGAAGTTCCTATCTGTTTCTGGGGTAAACACTGAGACACACCCAGAAATAAACACACACATACTCAACTTCCCCAGCCAGAAGGATACCCCCTCCCACACACACATGCTTACACACACGTGCAGGCAGGCTCACAGACGTGTCAGCACTCAGAGCCACATGCAGTCGCAAGGAGACACACACTCACATACACAAGGCTTGCTCAGCTTCTGAGTCACCATCTAGTTATCTAGTGGATGGTTTCTGCAGCTTTTGCTGCAGGAGGAGCTGGAGCTGGCCTAGGGACCCAGAGAGCCCTTCAAGCCCAAAAACCTGAGAGAGGGGTATGGGGAAATGGTGGTCTCTGGGGGGTGGTGGAAGGTGGGAGGAGGCTTCTATTTCCCTCCTTTCTTCCCAAACAGGGCTGGGCTCAGGGGCCAAAGCCAGGCCTATGCTGCCCCCTGGTGTCTGAACTGATTCCCAGAGCCCAGCTCCTTCCCCTCCCCTCCACGTGGATGGGCAAGTGTGTGCAGGGGCGCACCCAGCCAGGCCGCAGAGGGTAGCAGTTAAGAACTTGGCCTCTGCGGACAGGCTGCATGGGTTCAGAGCCTGCCAACGTTGCTAACTGCACAACTCTGGGCAGTTTACTATTTGTGCTTCAGTTTTGTCATCTGTAAAATGGAGCAAATAATGGTCTTAACTTATAAAGTTGTGAGAGTGAAATGCAATAATACATGTGAAGGCTTAGAACAATACCTGGCACATAGTAAACGTTAGGCACTCTTTTTATGTCCCAGAATTAGCCAGACAGGAGGAAGACAGAAGGGCCTCCATCCTACATAGGGTCCCCGGATTTGAGGGTAATATTACTGCCACAAAGGCAGAGGCTATTGGAGGTATGTTTATGTATTTATTGTGTCTGGAAGGCAGCCAGTTGAAAAGGAGGGAGAGCCGGGGTGGAGATGGCAGGCAGGCAACCTGTCCATGGGTTTAAACAGCTAGTATCGCAGCATGCGCACAAAGGCACTCACGACACTTGCACTTCGTGTGTGCTCCCGGGTGCCCACTCTGCCTGCAGACATCCACAGACATTGGCTGAATTCAGGCTTTGCCATCTAAGGGTCTCCGGAGGGCCAAGTCCTTCAGAACTTTGGCAAGAGGAGGAGAGGAGTGAACTTTGGCTCTTTTTGGGGGGTAGGAAGGCGAGGAGCACGTACTGGAGGTAAAACAATATTTATTATCATCTTCTCTAACTTATTGCCCTGATGGGGACACTGTGATGTCATCAAAGGAATTTAGAGGCATACCTGACACGGGTCTGACTCCACTTAAAAGCTTTGTGACTGTGTGTCAACCCCTCAAATGGAGACAAAAGCTATACCTACTTGACCTGGCCTAGGCCAGGGTGAGGTGTCGAGGGTGCCAAATTGGAGAAGGCACTCATCTTCAGGTGGTGCAAGTGAGTGGTTGGCTAGACTACTGGTAATGACACCCCCATTTGCATGACCCTGAGAGTGAGCGCTTTGCTTGCCTCACCCTCCTCCGGGTCCCACCACCCCTCCACTTTCTGTAAGGATCGCATGAGGGAAAGAAGAGGAAAAAACCATTTTGTAGCCTATGAACTGCATGTTGCAACCCAATAGTGAGTCACAAAATCAGTTTGGTGAGTGTATTCGTTTGCTAGGGCTGCCATAACAAAGCACCACAGCTGGGGGTGGGGGTGGGGGATGGCTTAGACCACAGAAGGAATTCATTGTGTCATAGTACCAGAGGCCGGAAGTCCAAGGTCAAGGTGTTGGCAGGGTTGGTCCCCTCTGAGGGCTGAGAGAGAGAATCCGTTCCAGGCCCCTCTCCTCGGCTTGTAGATGGCCATATCTTCCTATTAACATGGTATTCTCCCTATACGCAAGTCTGTCTCCAAGTTTCCACCATTTTTTGCTGCACCACGCAGCTTGCGGGATCTTAGTTCCCCGACCAGAGATCAAACCTGGGGCCCCGGCGGCAATGAAAGCACTGAGTCCTAACCACCAGGCAATTCCCAAGTTTCCCCTTTTTATAAGGATACCAGTCATATTGGATTAGGGCCCACCCTAAGGACCTCATTTTAACTTGATTACCTTTGTAAAGACCCTATCTCCAAATAAGGTCACATTCTGAGGTACTGGGGGTACCTCATATGAATATGAACTTTTGAGGGATATATGAATTCAATGTATTAATATACAAATTTTCGAGAGACACAGTTCAACCGATAACAGTGAGCCTTGACCATCACTATTTTTTTAATGAATTTATTTATTTATTCATTTATTTATGGCTGTGTCAGGTCTTCACTGCTGCGCGGGGGCGTTCTCTAGTTGCAGAGCGCGGGGACTACTCTTCATTGCGGTGCACGGGCTTCTCATTGCAGTGGCTTCTCTTGTTGCGGAGCACCGGCTCTAGGCGCGCAGGCTTCAGTAGTTGTAGCACGCAGGCTCAGTGGTGGCTCGCGGGCTCCTGAGCACAGGCTCAGTAGTTGTGGCTCATGCGCCTTAGTTGCTCCACGGCATGTGGGATCTTCCTGGACCAGGGATTGAACCCCTGTCCCCTGCACTGGCAGGCGGATTCTTAACCACTGCGCCATCAGGGAAGTCCACTGACCATCACTTTTTTAAAACAAAGTATGATAGAATAGAAAATATCAGAATGCATCACACAAAGTGAGGATAAGTGGTGTCTAATGAAATTTGTTTCTGTTTTATATATTTATCTGAGTTCTAGGTCTTCATGTAAAAGATACTTTTCAGTGCTGGTTGTGATCAAAAACAAAGCACCATTTGGATGTTGGTAACCATCACATATCACTTTGCATTGCTTTTTAATTATGGGTACATCCTTCTCCGACAAGGACATAAGCTCCCAGAGGGCGGGGACACATATCATCCTGTAAACTCTGCTATGCAGCTAGAAAAAAACAAAATTCATCCTCACTAGTGAATACAAAAACTACCATTTACTGAGTGCTTACTGTGTACCTGTTGCTGGGCTGTTTTACATACACTCTCTTATATGAGGACTAAACAGTGATGGATTGATGGCAGGAGCTTAGTATATTTCACAGACAAGGTGAATGCGCGCCACATTCAGGAGCACTGGGCAGCAGCCTGGGATTTGTGGAGGATTGAGGGATAGAAGGAAAATTTCACAGAAGAAGTGTGGGAAGGTGCTGTGGGCCCCTAGGCAGCTCTGTCTCCCAGGTCTTTTCTATTCTCCCCAAATTTCCATCCACCTTGATACCAACTCACCATTTAGATTAGAGGAAATGGAGGCTATCAGTTGGAAACTCCTCCAGTTTCCTGCTGTCTGCCAACAGACATTTCATCAGCACCTGCACTATCCCTTCAGGCTCAGAGCAGAGGGTGTCTCTGTCCCTGCCCCTGCCCAAAGTATGTTTCTCCACCTGTGCTCAGGGCTTCTCCTTCTGCCTCCCCAGGCACTGTTCCATTAATTGTCCCCTCCATCCTCCAAATCTCCAGCCTCTCAGTTGCTAATTATTACAGCTCTTTTTTTTTTCTGGCCGTGCTTTGAGTCTTGCGGGATCTTAGTTGCCCGACCAGGGATTGAACCCGGACCATGGCAGTGAAAGTGCCAAGTTCTAACCACTGGACCACCATGGAATTCCCTATTACAGCTCTTTACCCTCAGCATATAAACATGTTCAAATCCCTCCACCTTTAAAAAAGTGAATCAGGGCTTCCCTGGTGGTGCAGTAGTTGGGAGTCCGCCTGCCAGTGCAGGGGACACGGGTTCGAGCCCTGGTCCGGGAGGATCCCACATGCTGCGGAGCGGCTAGGCATGCGCCACAACTGCTGAGCCTGTGCTCTAGAGCCCGCGAGCCACAACTGCTGGGCCCGTGTGCCGCAACTGCTGAGGCCCGCACACGTGGAGCCCATGCTCCGCAACAAGAGTGGCCCCCGCTCGCTGCAACTAGAGAAAGCCCGCTTGCAGCAACAAAAACCCAATGCAGACAAAAATAAAAATAAATTAATTTTTTTAAAAAAGTGAATCAAACTGATAGCAAGCAAACAAAAGCCATCCTCCCAGAATCTGTGTCCAGTTAATTCAATAAAAAATTTGTTGGGTGTCTGTTCTTAGGCTCTTATAGCTGAGAGGGGGAGTCAGATTTGTCAACAACGATACAACAGCATAATTGGGGCTGTGATTCCAGTGAAGCACAGGGTGCT